ACAAAATAATTAACCTGAGAGGACAGCTCAAGCCTGGAGACTGTGTCATTAGTAATGCTGGAGGACAGCTTTGTTGCAAAAAGATTATCCATGCATTTGGACCTGTGTTTGATCCATCTATACCTCAGAAGTCTCTGGCACAGTTGAAAAGAGCTGTTAAAGGAAGCCTGGAACTTGCTGAAAAGCATGGCTGCATCACTGTGGCACTGCCGACCATCAGTAGAACCAAAGGCTTTCCTCTTGATGTGTGTGCACTGACCATCGTCAAAGCAGTGAAGGAACACTGTGATGAGAAATATAATGACAACACCTTGAAGAAGATCCATTTGGTGAACAATGAAGATGCTGCTGTTCAGGCTATGGAGAAAGCTGTCAAAAACGAATTTGGAAATGGTGGTGTCAGTCTTCAAACAACATCTCCAAGTCTGACATATGCTAAATCTACCTCATCTGACCCAAACTGCTTGGGTCAAGTGACAACCACAGAAGGCTTGAATATCACTCTCACTAAAGGAAACATCGAGAATGCCACGGTAATTCGAATTTTTTATTTTTCTAGTTAAAAATGCTGACAGAGTGATGACAAAATACTAGAATGGAATTAAAGCTAGGGTTGGTAAGCATGAAAAAGCCAACAAGAGCAGACTACACTATGAAAATATGCAACCAATACATCCCACCCCCTCTTATTGGCCTTCTCATCAAACCAACGCCCCAAATCACATGAACGTGCACTCACTGACAACTAGAAGCTGGTTCTGGCTATCTTCTCTGCTTCAGCCGTGTAGGTCTCTCTGGCTGAAGACTCTAGTTATGTGCACTGAGAGCATGGGCAGGGTGCATACTGGCAGCTGGTTAGTGACAGACCGGTACACCAGCCTGTGGTGTCATTTCATTTCATTATCAGTGATCCCGTCCGATTGAAATTATTGGTTGTGTTTATTACAGTCCCTCAAGAACCACAGAAACTTGGGACATGCTTTTTTGATTTTCAAATGGCTATCAGGATGTGAAGAGGATTTCAACAAGCAACTTACCAACCCTACCTTTAAATACTGACCAATTGCTCAGACTAACTCTCAGACTTTTTGTCTGATAAGGATGATGTTAAATGAAGAACTAATAACATTTTGTTTTTCTTAGACTGAGGTGATTGTGAACACTGTGCCAACGGATCTTTCACTGAACAACGGGGCAGTTTCAAATGCAATACTGCGCGCAGCTGGACCCAAACTTCAGCAGTTGATAAATGCACAGAAGGCCAAAGGAAATATTGGCGAGATCATTGTGACAGACGGCTGCCAACTGAAGAGCAAGAAAGTCTTTCATGCAATTGCACCTTCATGGACCAAGGGACAAGGCGCAACTGAAAAGGCAACATGCTCTAAAATGCGTAGTCTGTGTTTAATACTGTATCATATGAAACATGCCTCAGATATACCACTTTTCCTGCTTTTGTTTTACTGAATGTGATGTTTTACATCATCCAGCTAAATCTACTGCATACATTCCTTTTAGGATTATACTCTATTATACTTCTAATTATATTTAAATTGCATGTAAGTGTATGCAGCAGCCTTGTAAACATTCAGTATACGGTACTTCATCAATGCTTTCCTTACAGGTCTTGAGTGCCATTTTCAAGAATTGCTTGGACAAGGCAGAGGACACTGGCCTGACCTCCATTGCTTTACCTGCTGTCGGCACTGGAAACCTTGGTTTCCCAAGAGACCTAGTCGCCTCTTTGATGTTGACTGAAATCTCAGCGTTTAGCATGAAAAAACCTAAACACCTGAAGGAGGTTGTCATTGTCCTTTACGCAGGCGATGTGCAGACTATCCAGGTAAGGAAATAGAAGAAGCTTTGTAGTAGTTTTGGGTTATTTTCACWGRGAAATTAACTGAATGACAGATCCGCGATATCAACCAGTTCACAAAGAGGCTGTGTCAGTAATGTCCATGTTTGTGAAMATCTGCTCTTGTTATGTTTTTGTGATGTACTGATAATATTGGTGAGTTCTTTGGTGGAAGATATTGGTCTGATTCTCTCTACAGGCCTTTGGAGATGAATTTGATAAGGAGTTCCCCAGTGCCTCACGTGGTCCAGCATCCACAGGTTCCCCACAAAACACTGGTAGGCAAACATCTATTCAWCATTTTATGTGCAGTTAATGTGCAATGCTTTTATAAATGTAAKAAAGGATCAAGTTAACAAAAACATCAACAAAACATATTTATTTTGTATAAAGCAAGTAAACCTAAAAATGTATAAAGCTGTGGATTGTATATTTAAAATGATCTGAATGGCTCAGTAATTATCAAATGTATTTTTATTGATTAATTGGTTGATTTGCTTTTTTTTTTCTTCTTTCCACTGCAACAAGGTCCCTTCTCAAATGTTGTCTCGAGCACTGGAATGCATGAGACCAAAATGGGAAGCGTCACCATACAKKTGGTCACAGGAGACATAACCAAGGAGACCAGTGAAATCATTGTCAACTCCTCCAATGAAAACTTTTCTCTTMAKTCAGGTAAATGACCACAAGAAGAGGAATATTTCAGCTATGCAGAACAAWTGAGGTTTTATCCATACACGCTAACATATTAGTTTATGTCTTTTCCACCTCTAGGTGTATCCAAGGCTATTCTAGAGGCAGCTGGTCAGGCTGTTGAAGCAGAGTGCCAAGCCCTTGGTAATGAAACATTTACTAAAAACTGTTATGACACTGTAACCCTGACTTGCCACAGTTAAACAATTTTCTAGCTGTGATAACTATCACAATAAATGAAACAATACTTAAAGTGCTCTAGATTATAATGAAATAATTATGTATTTAAAGGTTCAGTGTGTAGAATTTAGTGACATCTAGAGGTAAAGTGTCATGTTGACTTTTAACCCTGTTCTGTTCCACATCATAGCACAAGATTTGTATGAAAAGAARTGTGGCCTGAATGCAAACACATAATGCACACAGATGATTGTCGTGGTCCAAAGTCCTTCAAATCCATTGTCTTCACCCTCAGGTGCCCAGCTCAACCYRGGCATGATAATGACCAATCCAGGTAACCTAAGGTGTAAGAAGATCCTCCACGTGATCGGACRGAGCGACCCAGTAAAAATCAGAGCGGTTGTGAAAGATGCACTTCAGTTGTGTGTGAAAAATGGCTATGCCTCTGTCTCATTTCCTGCCATTGGCACTGGTGAGTCTGGAGTATATTGTATGGAAAGTCCCCAAGCCTATCTAAACTTAAAAATCATACAGTGTTTATTGCAATTTTAGGGTTTGAAACCAACTTAGAGATGATTTCATTGAATGTTTGTGTTTATACATGAATTCTATTGATTCAGAGAGAATGAACAGTTGTGGTTTTTCAATGTGTGTTTTTACAAGTGACGATACCTGCACTGCCTTGTGCTGCTGTCAACTTTGATTATGCTCTACCATCTCAGGTCAAGGCAAAGTGCAGGCAAGACAAGTGGCAGATGCCATGTTAGATGCAGTGATCGATGTGTTGAGCCAATCCACTCATGGCTCCCTGAAGACAATTCGGATAGTTATTTTCCAACCACCGATGCTGAAAGACTTCCACAGCAGTATGCAACACAGAGGACAAAGCGCTGMCAGTAAACCCAATGATAAGGRTASTGGGTGGTGGMGCAAACTCAAATGTAAGTACAGAACTGGGCTGTTACTTTTTCTAAATATCAAATTTGAATGAAAAGCTGATTGTGAGCACCCACTGTTGGATCATGAGGCAAACTACTTCACACAGTTTGATGAGCTTCTAGACTGTATATTTTGAAATCCAACAGGTTATTACAGTTTGAATATGAACCCCATGTTCGAATAAATTACATGAAATTTATTCTCACAGCATTATTTGGGAGTGGAACTGCTGACAAGCCACAGAAAGATGGAGACTTTGTCATCAAGGCGGTGGCAGTCGACCCGGCTTGCTTCCACATCTGCGGCGACACACAGGCCAAAGTGGACTCAGCCAAGCGGTGGATCAATGATCTGATTACCAAAGATCAAAACACAAATGCCATTTTAGACACAGCCATCCTCAGCTTTTCCACCACTGACTACCAGCACATTATTGACATCCAGAAGACCGTGGGCGTGAGCATCAGGATCGAAAGCAAGCAAGGCCAAGCCTCATTAACAATTGAGGGATTCAGCCAAGATGTACTCAAAGCCACCACAGAGATCCATAGAATGCTGAAAAAAGTGAGGGATGAGGAAGACCTGAAGAAGGGCGTGGAGCTGGCAAGCACAGTTGCGGACTGGCAGTACCAGCAGCAAGGGCTCCGGTATCTAAGCTTTGATCCAGTGACAAACTTCCAGCTTGAGCAAGCATTGCAAAAGAATCTGACAAGTGTAAAAGTCAACGTCCAGGGTCAAGACTACATTGTCACTATGCCAAATGGACCAGCCACCGACAGACAGGGATGCACATTGCAGATAAAGAGAATTGACAAACTGAAAGGTATTTGACTGATTGATGAGAGCGTTCTGTATAAAAAAGATTATAAAGCACTGGTAAAAGTTCCAATATGAAGCTAGAATAATGTGCATTCACATTTAAACCTTTTATTACTGCAAATGATTCAYCTGTTTTAGTACAATTTCTCTTTTTGACATCTCTCTCAGACTTTGTAAGCCAAAAACATGATACCCAAAATGTATTTTGTCTCTAGATGAAGTACCCGTGCACTGGGATGCTATGCCACCCAACACTTCGTGTCTGGCTGTCCCAATCCAGGCTGGAACAGCAGAGCACATTGAAGTCCTGAGTCTTTTCCAGGCCTCGTGCAACCGAACTGTTATCAAGGTAGTCCTCATTTAAAGTGCACTGTATTTAAAACATGTTTTAGTGACACTGCTTTGTTACTAGAGCAGAAAGTTTTGTTTGTGAGATGTTTCAAATACCAATGGTTTCCTTCCTGATATCGATTTAACTCCTGTGCATTTAAAAATAACAACATACAGCATATAATTTTTTAACAGTTCTATGTTACTAACCCTGTATGGAAGTGATAAACTCTATCATTGTAAACCCACTGAAAAACAAATACAGAGAGTGAATGTCATAGAACTTCTTTGATTATATTGACAATCATGATACACAAGCCACTCCCCCAAACTCAAATCTTGCATTACACTCCTGGAAAATCACTTCTTCTTTGCTGCCCTAAAAACTGTATTTGTCAGTGGCAGTGGAGTGCAACTGCAAAGAAGTGATTTCCAGTAAAAGAAAATTGCAGTTTTATCTGGGTGAAACTTAAGTCTTACTTGATTATATATGCACAGTGTTAAAATATATTATATAAAACTATTAATGACTCGGTTCTGCAACTCGTAATTTGCCTTTTCTGCTTTTTAAATTGAAGGTTCTTATAGAACAGTTGTGACGCACAAGAAACACTGTTGGTTTTAATGTGGATGATGAAGTGGATCAATAATCTGGCTTCAAATCACAACCTGCATCGTCATTTTCCCATCCCCCAAATATTTCCCTACGCATGGGTCAGAGTTAGTGTACAAGTGCACACATTCTCCTGTCAAGTTTGTTTTCATAGATCCCAACGTTTGCTTGAGAAGTGGCTTACACATCTTTCAGACCCTGTTTAGTGTGTACACAACAGTTATAAATGAACGTCCAATATATAGTTATTAATAGACTTTTAAAATGTGCTTTTGGATCATTTCATAGATTCAGACAATTTACTTTTCCCTCCTGTTCAGATTGAGAGGATCCAGAACCCTATGTTGTGGAAGAGCCTACAGATCAAGAAGCGGGACATTGAGCAGCGAAACGGTCATTCAAACAACGAGAGGCGTCTGTTCCACGGCACCATCGAAGCCATAGTGAACACGATTAATGAACATGGCTTCAACAGGGCTTACGCAGGAAAGAATGGTGAGAAATTTTTGAGGAAAATATGGGACAATGTTTCACCTGACACTTCCTTTACCTTTATTGCTAAACTGAAAATGAAACATTATTAACATTTATAAATCTTGAATGGATGTTCCGAACACTGGTTGTTTTTCAGTTATTTCTTCATATTAACTTCAGCAAATGGCAGATAAATGCTCACAAACTAAAACAAAGCCTTTTTGCTGCTGTTTCATTTTCAGCTGCCTGTTTTGGCAACGGCACATACTTCGCTGTCAACGCCAGCTACTCTGCCCAGGATACATACTCCAAGCCGAATCCAAAAGGGGAAAAATGCATGTACCTCTGTCAAGTGCTGACCGGGGATTACACGCTTGGACAACAAAACATGATCGTACCACCAGCCAAGGGCAACACATCCTTTCAGAAGTACGACAGTGTCGTGGACAACGTGAATAATCCAAGCATGTTCATCATCTTCCATGACACTCAGGCTTATCCTGAGTATTTGATCACATTCCAGTAACAAAACTATGTTCTGACATAACAAAGACCGTATGCTTCAACATTTTGTATTGAGTTAAAAAATGAAATGAGTCTTTGTTTAACATCGGCTGAATAATAGTATTTGTTTTCCCAACTGCTTTAGGGATTTGGTTAAAGAAGTTATTTGGTTATTAAGTAATAGAGTCAGGAATCAGAGCCACAGAGTGCCTTGAAAAATTAACCATAGAATGATCACACAAGGAGAACTTTAACATGAAAAGAAAAGTGAATGATTGCTCACATATTTTTGTTTTTGCCTGTTATGCTTTGTATAATCAAACTGATAATTGAGTGGGGAGAATGATGGACCTGCTCTCCTACAGGATATCATGTGATACAAACAGATTTTGTAATTCAGGTTAGCAATCACTTTTGGTTTTGAGAGTAATAAGGAAGTTGACTGCTGTTCCAATAAACAGGGTGAACAGATAAAAGTTCATATGAGCACACTTGCATGTTAAGCATTTTCTTTATCTGATTTAGACTTGATAAGTCAACCTTTACAGTTGTGTGCATTTTTGTTCAGTTTAAATATTCAAATTAAGATTGCATGATATAATATGTCAAACCCCTCTCCACATTGTTGAGGAATTTTTGTATATTCTCACACATTACTGTATAAGTCACTGTATACCATATTATGTGCATATAGTGACTATTACATTATATCTGTACACAATTAAGAGAAGAGTGCCTGACTAATTCAACAAATCCCCCCTTCTCTCTCTAAACAGTACCCAAGGTCAGGTTATAGATAAACAGTGCATTGTAGTGTCTACGCTTGGAGACATTCATATCTAACTCAGATGCCCCAGACAGAGATGCACCAACTTTAACTCTTGCGTATTACACCCGTATCCAATAGGATGCAAACACCTACATGTTGCATAGAAAGTGAACGCAATTCTAGCCATTCATGGATGTGCTATTAGAATGGGTGACACAAGTAGAGGAAGATATATGGGGATACTGTGTGAGGACATCTTCAGACTTGGGGGTGACAGTTGCTCATGTTACTCTGTTACTGTTTGTATATTGCTGCACCTTCTGGTCTCCTTGATGCATCAAGTCCACATTAAAATCTTCTGCATAAGACATCAGCTGCTGCCTGAGTTCTCCTTTCACCAGCTTCCAGAAAACTTCCATAACAAATTGGCATCACGAACAAGATCTCAACACAGCAAAGATACGGTAAGTTTAAAACTTGTAGTTTCACTGTGCTGTCTACAAAATAGATACTAATTCTACATTTATCTTACTTAACTTTCAGAAAATTAATTATCAACAGTAGTAGTTTTCGCCTTTAAAGTTGTGTTTACTGTTTTATCCATCACCCTAGTGCAAACATTGCCAGCTTGAGTGGCATTGATGTTTGCAATGAGACCAGTCTCGCAGTGTTACTGCACAGGATTCAGTTCTACAGATAAATACAATCAATAAGCTAATGCGTTTTTGGACACAAAACACCTATTGAAATATGAACAAATTGTGTTGGTCCACAATGGTGCACCTTTCCAATTGAAGTCAAATTTAATTGTACAGAGTAAGTGACACCCATCCCCATGCTGTGGTTGTGACATAAAACACATTGAAGAGATGTTGGCTAAATGCCAGCCAAAGACAGAGGCTCTATGCAGCTCTTGCATTCACAACCAACAAATAACACGTTTTTAAAGCCAAAATATCTATGAGGTGCATCTTAATGTTGAATTTTCTAAACCTCAAAAAGTGGAAGTAAAAAGCTAATGCTACATACAATTAGATAGTAACTCTTGCTTCCCAGAGCGATAGCAGACATGACTGCTGGACTAAGGTGGGTTGGTAGAAACCACCTTTCAATACTCATATCTTGCAGAATCCAAAACCAAACTGAACTGATGAGTGGAGATGATGTTCAGGAATTGCAAACTATTAATGATATCAATTGTTCATATACCAGTTTGATTTTGGCTTCATCGTTAGCAGATTCAAAGTGTTGTACAGTTGTCGATTTGAGCAAAGATTTATCTTAATTCAACCCAGACAGCCTATACATGTATTTGTTCAGGGAAGGTCTGGTGGTGTATGCAACAGTGGTAAAGCGTGACCTGATGACGTGCGCCTACCTGGTGGCAGCACACTCCTGCCGTATGCTGAGGATCTGTTGATAGTCTCCCTGTACAAGGACACTTGTCGCTTTTACTCTATTTTGCTGTTGCAGAGACGTTCTGAATGTGATCACAGAGCAATCCTGGCTAAGCTGCAGATCTGCTCACGTGAGGTTACATGTTTGGTGCACCATGTCTGGTGCAGAAACACAAGTCTCATTACAGTCATGTTGCATACTACTCATCATGCTTGTCTCCTGTTGTTGGCAAGATTGACTGTCTCAGGGCTGTAGCCATCAAGATGAAAAAAGAAAGAAAAAAACAAAACAAAACAAATTTCACCCTTTGTTTTGGATCATGATTGTGTGGTCCATGATCCCCATTCAGTTTTGCATATCCTGAACATTTCTGCTAGTTGGCACATGACAGCAGCTTGTCAATCTGATCATTCACAAGCCCCCACCTAAAATTAAAGCGCTCACCACATCTGGACCCAGATACTCTTCTTCCTATGATGGATGAAAAGACTAGATTTGTTGCAGACACCAATATTAACTACTGATTTGATTCTGTACATGGACAGTTCAGGCAGACCGTCTGATAAAATAAAAAATAAATACAAATATTGCTACGCTGAAATAACTGAATAAAAAGTATTGGAAGCACAAGCATTACCTTGTGGTACCTCCCCTTACAAGAACGTTCAGGCAAAAGAACAAAGTTGCAACCATTTACAATGATTCTAGATATGATTTGGGTTTTGATTGTCCGTGATCCCTTTTGTTTCTGTTGCCCACTGTACTGCATGGCTCGTCACAGGTGATTCACACATGGATCAAAGAGATAAATCAAAGAGATAATAAGATCACAGTGGTTTGCACCAGGCATCACTTGAGGTTCACCCACTTTAGTAAAAAGATGCATTATTTTTCAGCAAACTAGGAGAGAGTATAGCACAGTGAAACACGATCATGTTACATTGAAAAGGTCCATTTTTAAATATGGAAATAGATTTTGTAAATATGCAAAGCTATTAGAGCTACAAATACTTGCTAGTAATTGTAGACCAGTTTTTTAAGAAGGTTGAAGCTTTCCCAACTAGGAGACAGAAAGAATAAATATGTCGTTAAGTGCCCTTAATGGATGCCATTAGCTCAGGTCAAAAATAAAATAAAATGAGGGAAGGGTCCCTACTCTGAATTAGAGGAAGATTAGGTGTTATACAAATACAACTGACGTGAATAATAAGGGTTTAAAAATGTAGTAACCTTTACAGTTGTGTCCATTTTTGTTCAGTTTAAATATTCAAACTTCCATAACACGTGCCATATTAATCTCACAGAAGTTTTTCTCTGGTTGTTTACAGATGTACTGTTCCAGTTGTCATTTTGTGGGAAACACACACTTGACCCAGTGAACCTCAGACTCCACCGGGGGCCTGTACTACAAAGCAGGATTTGTAGAAATAATTTATTTAACTCAGATTTTTCAGTACTACAAAGCTGGTTTACTTCTTAACGGGGTATATCACCATGATAACATATGCACATCACCAGCTTAAAGCTCCAGTAAAAGATAAATGGATCGTTAATTTATTTTTGTGTCAAACTATTTCCAAAGTCAGAGGTGAGCTTTTATGCTCGATACTGATTTCCGTTACTGTATCATTAAGAATATGAGATGTAATTTCATGTCTTTTGTACAAGGCTTTATGTTAAGTGTGTATTGCATTTTATTTACAGCTCTGCTACATGTTTGTAAAATGTAAATTGTGTTTAATTTCATTATATCCATACAGCTGAATAGGTTGTTGGCCTTAATCAAATGACCCTTTAATAAAAATGTAAATTATTTGTAAACTAAACTGTGAAGCCTTGATTCGTGTTAAAACAAGCAGTGTTATCCCTGATCTGTGAAGTGGTGAAAACAAACCATCTTCAAAATAAACAAAGAGGACGAGTAAAATGTTTTTAAATCTTGTTTAATTTTGAAATCACTGTCGGGCACGCTACATCTCCCCCTCAGGGTCCATCCAAATATTGTTGATTTTCTTTTTCGTGATCTTTGAAAGTCAACGTTTTTCTCTAATGTAAGTGGAATAAGATCTATGTCAGTATATAATCAACTTCTTCTCTGGAACAAAGGTTTTCTGCTGCTGCACAAAGGTCGGAACACTTTCAGAAGCCACATGCGCAAAGATGGCCGTGCATCCGAATTTGCTCTGGAGGATGTCGCTCAGGGCAGGTCCACACTGCGTCACAATGTTAACTGAAGGCCCTTGAAGAGCGATATCAAACTTAGTGGCCATGGTTCCTAAATAGAGCCATGAAAAAAAGGAAGTTTGTGTGAGTAAATCATACAAAGACATTAGTGGCAAATATATTTGATACTTGGCATTGTCACGCGTACTTTCGATCATCTCTAGTAATCATCCTTTCACTATACTTATACATACTTATATTCCCCATAATGTTCTCTTTTGCATATTATTTCCATGTCTCTCTTTATATATATTTATTTATACTTATATATAAAGAGTGCTAGGATGTAGTGGAGAACATTGACTCCATTACTGTAATCATTTTTCATGAATATATTCTGCACTTAACATAAGTAGATTTATTTTTGGCTAGGTTTGATTTTACTACATGTATCAGCAAATATATGTAATTTCTACTCCACTATATTTTCGCAATGCATTGAGTTATACTGTATGTTCACATTGTTCTTCTTTATTCTTATAAGTAATCAATAACAATGGGGAAATTGGTCCATCGATCTATTCAGATTGGACAGTATCAATAAGTATGTT